GGTTCCTTCCAGGAGACTATCAAGAAGACCATGGAACGCATGCAAGCATCAGGACAACAGGCGACTGCAGCCGCGGCAGAGTCATCTACCGAAGATTTTCTCGCAGAGATGATGAAGCAACTCGGAGAGGGCAACCTCGAAGGCGGCGGTGGCAACGAGGAGGAGTTCTCAAAGATGCTCATGGGCATGATGGAGCAGCTCACTAACAAAGAAATCCTGTACGAGCCTATGAAGGAGCTCAACGACAAGTTTCCCGAGTGGTTAGCAAAGAACAAGGAAAAGACGCCAGCAGAGGATCTCAAGCGGTACGAGGAGCAACAAGCGCTAGTCAAGGAGATCGTGGCCAAGTTCGAGGAGAAGACGTACGCCGATTCCAACGCGGCGGACAGAGAGTACATTGTGGACAGGATGCAAAAGGTTGGAACCTCTCCAAATTTGGATCTTCACGCGCTAACAGGAGACAGATGCAAGCTGCTGGCTCACCTCCGTCTGATTTGGTCGGTGATATGCCATCAGCGCAAGAAGCTTTCAGTGCAGACGAGGGCTGTAATCCCCAATAATCGGACATTCCAATGGAAGTCCCGTCAAATATGTTCCTACACAACCGGTGCCTTGTCCCGTGAGCTTGCATACACACAGTAGCCATTCGTGGCATATTCCGACCGCTGTTCAATGCCAGACGCCAAATAGCAACCCCCAGACCCCGAAAGCCAAATAGTCTCGTATAAACGCCGCAAAGCAAATAGACCAGCCGTAATCAACGCCATATTTTCATGACATGTCCATATCTTGCGAGGACGCGTCTGGCTGACTGCTTTCCTGTGATACCAAATTCATGAATAACGAGTCGTAATCCTCGTCGTCTGACAGGCCGTATGGATCTGACTGCATCATTTGCGAGGAGCCAGTCTCGGGCTGCACATCAGATGACTGGTCGTAGGAGAGTAATAACGCATCGAGCTCGTCCTGCTCCTCCTGGGCGATGGCATCAACCATCATATCGTCAGTGTCATCAGGGATTCGTTGCGCGCGATCTTGGAGAACAGCTGCCGCGTCTTCGATATCCGCTTCGGAAAACACCGCGTTGCCTTCAATTTGCTTGGCATAATGCCGTTGCCGCATGTCGCGATCCCAGTCAGACTTGAGAAGCTGTCGGATACGTCAGTAGGCCGTATCACAGTCAGTAGCAAAACCTTCACGTACAGTGCCCTCCATGTCCCGCCGCTGGTATTGACGATCATCCGCGCGCTGCCTCACGTTTTGGAGGAACAGCTTCCTCCTGCTCTCCTGCGCTTCTTCGCGTTTCCGAACTATCGGGTTCGGTTTCGTAGCTCTTGATGCGTATTTGAACTTTGGTTGAGGAATAGGCGAGGATTGTGTGTGGCGTACGGTGTTGTCATTGATGGGCGAGAGGGGTGATGACGCGCGAATGGGCGATGAAGAAAGAGGCGATGGGACCGTGGGCCTGAAATCCCACGTCCGGTCGCTGAAGATGGGTACGGGTCCGGCGACGGAGAACATTTCGGAGCTTTGGCTGACGTCTGATGTCTTGTTCTGTTGCATAGAGTTGATATCGCGATCGAATGAATAATGCTTGAGTGCAAAGATTAGTGTTGGTTGTTGGTTGTGCTATCCCAATGTGCCGAAGTCTGGAGCTGAGGCTGTAGTTGCAGTTGTCGCCTCTGGCAGGTTGCTTAATTGAATCACGGCGCGGGAAGGTGTCATTGAACGCGACCTGAACGCGGTTGAACTAAAGATGTTTTGCGCCACAACACATGTGGCTTAGAGCGGTGACACGTGAAATCCACTTTTGGAGGGTCCCTTCCCGGTCCAGTGACGGATCATACAGAAACAGTTAATTACGGTCTTTTGAGCTAGACCTCTGTCCCGGCGGTTTCCGAACGGGCCCCGAGGTAAGGATAAACGTGGCGCTCGACGAATGAAAGCGACCGTCAAGAGCGCCACCGTTCCCCTAGACCCCAACGATATGGCAGGCGCAGGCCCAGGGCCAGAAAGATAGAGGAAGAGAAAAAAAAAGTCCAGAAGAGTTGACTGACGACATGACATTCGACTAATTAGCTCTGGACCGCCCCCAAAGCGACTCGATCCCTTGAAAACCGACTCCACTATCTGTAGCGACTGTTGGGAAAGTCCATATCGAGACACGCCTGTTTGCATGCAAAAGCAAACACGGAATCCCAACATAAACTCGTAGAATGAGCATCGGCGCAGACAGTTCTCCTGTTTGTCTTATCGTCGGCGGCAGTCGGCCAGAGTCCAGATGAAAGCCTTCACCGCCTTCTCGCTCCCATTGCGCCGGCTTGCCACTCGACGGCCATGGACATGCTCCAACTGTCGTGGAGGCCAGTTGGCGCAGCAGTCCAGCCGGACACAACAGCAACAACAGCAACGATTTAGCAACACCGCACGCGGGTTCTCTTCCACGACCACGAAGACCACGATCAACCGGGCTACACCGAGGACTGGCGGTGGTAAGAAGGGTGGTCGCGTGTGGCTCCTTGCTTCAGGCGGTGGCGTTGCGACAGCAGGTGTCCTTGCGCTGGGCGACGACATCAAGTACGGCTACGATGCGGCAGAGCGAGCAGGCCGTGTTGCGGCTGCGCTCGCAGTATGCATTAATGAGTAAGGAGAATATTCTTCAAAGAAGTACACCCTCGGAGTGGTCTTTGCTAATACAATTGCAGCTACCGAACGACTCTCAACCAGAAAGAAACGATTGACGACCCCGAATTAGCAAACAAAATTTTGAAAGACTGTCACCAGCGATGCGCCGATCGAACACTAAAGGTCTTGGAGAAGAACGGCGGGATCTTCATCAAGTTGGGCCAGCACCTTGTGAGAGTCCCCCTATTCTTATACTTCTTGTAGTTCTGGAAACTAATACACCATCAAGAGTGCGATGAACTACCTCCTCCCGCAAGAGTGGACAAACACCTTCATCCCACTACAAGACAAGTGCCCCGTATCGTCCTTCGAGTCAATTGAGGAAATGTTCCGCAAGGATACTGGAAAAGAGCTCTGGGACTACTTCTCCGAATTCTCAAACGAACCGATTGGTGCTGCATCTCTCGCTCAAGTACACACCGCTACAGTGAAGGACACCGGAATGCCTGTGGCTGTCAAAGTACAGCACCCAGGACTTGGCCAGTGGTCTCAACTCGACCTTGCCTTGACACGTTTCACGTTCTCTACGCTCAAGCGCTTCTTCCCGGAATACGATTTGGAATGGCTCTCCAAAGAGATGGATATCTCGCTGCCGAAGGAATTGGACTTCAGAGAAGAAGAGCATAACGCTAATCGTACGAGGGAACATTTCGCCAAGCTGCCTGAGCACCCCCTCGTCGTTCCTGGTGTTCTCTGGTCGAAGGAGCGCATTCTGGTCATGGAGCGGGTATCAGGACACCGGTTAGACGACCTCGAGTACCTTGACGCCAACGGTATTGACCGAGACGAGGTTTCCGCCTGTCTCGCTCGCGTTTTCAACGAAATGATATTTGGCCACGATGCACCCTTGCACTGCGATCCCCACGGCGGCAACCTGGCCATTCGGAAGAACGAGTCCAGGCGCGGCCTCCGAGGCGGGCACAACTTTGACATCATTCTCTACGACCACGGCCTTTACCGCGAAATCCCCCGCGACCTGCAGCGCTCCTACGCCAAAATGTGGCTCGCTGTCATTGACGGCGACATGAAGCGCATGCGCAAGTATGCCAAGGAGGTGGCCAACATCAACGACGAGCAGTTCCCCCTTTTCGCCTCCGCCATCACAGGCCGCGACTGGAGCGTCCTCAACAGCGAGGGCTCCGTCTTGCAGACGCGCACCGACGACGAGAAGAAGGAGATGGGCGACGCACTGCAGGAAGGCCTGATTGTCGATCTCGTCCAGCTCCTCGGCCAGGTCCCGCGCATCATCCTCCTCATCCTCAAGACCAACGACCTCACCCGCAGTCTGGATGAGAACCTGCACACCCGCCAGGGTCCCATCCGCTCCTTCATGATCCTCGCTCGGTACTGCACGCGGACCGTCTTTGAGGAGCAGCTCGAGGACCTGAAGCAACGGGGATCGCTGCTGTGGCCGCCGAATACCTTCCGCCTCATGTCCGCGTGGATCGGCTTCTTGAGGGTGGAGCTCAAGCTTGGAGCCTTTGAGTTGTATTTGAGCGCCAAGAGGGCGTTTGGGTTCAAAGGCGTCGAGTTTGCGGCTCCGGGCATGTGATTGTATTAGATAAATGCACATATGTAGAGCTATAGACTTGTAATTTGACTAGTAGATGAATGTACTAGATAACACTTTTCATGCCTTTTCGCTACCCAAGCCTTGCTGTTTCAATCCGTGAGTCTAGATTGTTCTGCGACTAGTCCACCTGCCGCAATAATTCCTAAGCAAGAAGACAGACGGGAGATACCAATCGGTACTATATATACATATCCTTGCCAAAAAAAACGAAAAAAAAAAAAAAACCCCTGAGTCGCGGTCTAAAGCTAAAAGGATTTCGTTTAAGGCCGTAACCACATGAGCATACTCGCATCGGTACACACTGTCAAAGTGAACAAAAATAAACTATATTCTTTAACTACCTACAAGACTGGTCTGGACAAAGCCACACCACCATCAGAAAAACATACCGGTTTAGTTATAGTATACCATTTCAGGGTTACAATGAAATGGGCGGGATGAGGTAATGAGTTTAGTAAGTAACTCAATGAGTACCTATTGTGATGCAAGGCGAATTTGGTGAGCCCAACGTTGGATATCATATAAAGCAACTGTGAACGTACTGGCCAGACGATCAGTATTACGGTTGCTATTAAACATATCACTGTGAGTTTGTGTGGAAGAGACTGTTGAGTTTGACAGTGTTCTCATTATCGCCTGCATGCGCCAGACTAATTGATTAAGATACAACGCTTGACTCTTTCATATTCGCTAGCCAGCTCCATCCCAAGCGATAAGGTGGGTATCGGTTCATAAACACCATTTACATGTTGTCAAGACGCTCCTTGGCAGACTCCTTGGCCTCATCGGAGACGTTGGGATTCTTCAGAGTACTGTGATTGACATGTTAGCAACAGTCCGAGGTACTAGCATGGGGAAGAACACTCACGCCTTGAGGCCACCGGCAACATTGCCAGGGTTCTTCTCCTCATTGTCGCCAGCCTTGGGGACATCGCCGCCGTTGAACTCGTTCTCGAGAATCTTCTTAGAGTTCTGCTTGGACTCCTCAGACGTGTTGGGGTTGTTGATGTTGGCCTTGTGGCCGCCGGCGATCTGAGCTTCGGTAGGCATGTTGAAGGTTGGTGATTGGTGATTGAAGTTGGGAGACTTGATAGTTTGCTGTTAAGCTATTGGTAGATGATGAGATTGTTTGATTGCTTGTTGTTGTGATGATGAGAAGAGAAGAGATATGTTCCAGAGGTGTCGGATTACCTCCTTCTTATACATCTTCTGGGCTCATCGAGATGGAATCTTGTGACCTAGTCGAGCTCGAGCTGCAGGAGAACAAACACACCCAAACAAAGGAAGGCTTGAGTTCAATCCCCTGACCGCCATCAGAGCTCGTGGTGCTATCCCCATGTGTTGGAGCGGGCAGCTTCGACGTAATTCATGTCATCATCATATCTACCCCTCATGTACATAGCCTTTTCACTTCGACATTGGTAAACTGCCCATGGTACCCAAATAATCAAATACGGAACTTGTGAAAAGATACATCTTACTCCAACCCCCTTTGCATAAGGGAAAGAAGCAAGACGTGGAATCAACTCATCTGAGCTACGGCAAGGCTACCGGGCCAACGACCGAGCGGTCTGAACTGTATGGACCTAGTGCCGGAAGCTCCCTCGTACTCGAGTGACATTTCCTCCTTTCGATCATTGATGAGGAAAAGTCATGACGTCCTTGGTTTTCCTTCTAGTAGTATGTCCATAGAAGAAGAACATCGTCCCAGCAGACTGAGCGAGATCGAGATGATCTAGGTCGGTGCGTCGTGGCTTGAATGGTGTTGCATGTTCCTTATTCCGCTACGCCCAAGCGGTCGTACTTTGCGTGCCTGGAAGGGGGTTTTAGACATGACTTTCCGTAAAGAGGCACACGTTGTGAAAGGGGGCCGGCGCCGGGGCGAAAGTTGTGGGGGAGGGGCGGGAAGAAAGATGATAGACCGGTCTAAGAACAAACTACTGACTGTGACACGGTGACATCCTCAAGGTCGCTGCTTCGTGTGGTTAACATGGTTGGTGGTATTGGTTAAGGAAACAGCAGTGCCAGCCCTACAATCCCCTACGACGTTACACTTTACAATTAACGGGAGACGCGGGGGTGGGGGAGAGCAAAGGGACGTACGACACTAGGGGAATTCGGTTCATGCCTGTCCGTCCGCCGCCGCCCCTCCCATTTAGGTATTCTTCCGGTCGTTGAGGAGGGATGAAGTCAGATCGATCGATGATGCTAGTGGGAAAACGGCATAGCAAGGGGAAGGAAGCGTAGCAAACACTCCGGGCAGAGGTTCTTTGAGGAAGTGATCAGGCGGGTGTTCGAGATGCAGCGGCTCTTTGCAGGAGCTTGGAGCTTGGGTAACCTCAAAGCGAACCAATCTGGAACCGCTCTTTGCTTGATCGAGGCTCAAACCACCATGCTAGGTACGGTGGGAAGCATGTAGGTAGATCGATCTCATTTAGGCTGCGCTTCTCGGCCGCCCAACCTTGTCGTCATGACCAAATACTATCGTCATTAATTGAACGGAAGAAGAAAGGAAGACTTAATGCTCGATGCACTATTACGGCTAGGTATCTGATTCCCAGCGGCAGCACTTCAGTCAATTGGCATCGATTGGACCTTGTTATGAAAATGCCGATACCAATTGAGTGCATTGGCTGGTTGAACTTCATCCAGACGAAGTTCGCCGTGGCCTAACCCGGTGACGAGGACAAGAATGAGATGAAATGCTGATTTCATGGGCATCTGACACCGCCAAAGAATAAATCCGATTGTCAAACCCCCGCCAAAACAGGCAAAGTGAGATCGAAATCTGACATGGTAATCTGGGAGAGGAATGCAAGGTACCGCCCCAAGTCCAAAGCTTGCCCAGATCCAGCCCTCAAGTAGGTATTGGCCCGAAGCAAATAGCATCAAAGACCGCTTCTAGACCGTGCAAGGGGCCGAGATGTGCGGGGGGGCTGTGGCCTGTGGGGAAAGCTGATGTTGTGCTCATCTTGCGTGAGTCTGTCTGCGTTTGCAAAAGTCGTGCGTTTTAGACAATCCCACCATCACAAAGCTTCGCCCGTTCGCTAAGAGCATTACGGCGTGGTGCCGCTAGGCTGGCTATGCGGCTCCGAACTAGGGCCAGGAGGTGATGATTCATCGGCTTTGTTTGGTGATGTCAATGACTGGTCGAGCTAGGCAGGGCCAAGACGCAAATATGCATATTGCGGAGAGCACAGACTCCCCACGGCAGGAGCTTCTTGTCCGGAGGGAATGAGGGGAGATGCAATGATCTTCGCGTAATGATCGTTAGGGGAAGGAAAATGTAAGAAAAGTGAGATGCGGGTGGATTCATAGATATGTAGAACCGCGGAGCCCCTCCATCACGCTCATCGCTTTGCCCTACTTATCTTCCCTCATACTCTCCCCCCCGTCCCCCCCCCCCCCCATTCCCAATTGACAGACGCTTGTCAGTCATGTTGGGCTGTGGGTCACTCGTTTCCAAAAAAAACCAACCCGTTTCAATAAGTTTGATGTGCTAGTGCATTCAGCTAGCCATAGGGGATATCAGGGTCTCGTCGGTGTTGACTTGACACCAATCATTCGACTTCTGACCATGCGCCGCTTGGCAAGACGAGATATTTAACTGCCCGGCATTTGAGTAAATCTCAAGAGTCATGATATTCCACGTCGTCTACCGATGCTGCTCGTGTGACCGGCGCATCAGCCGTAGGATGAGATCCATTGTCTTGCATACGTGTAAAGGACCATCGTGGTCCCAGCAGCGAATGAGACGAGGATGGAGATACGTGCTTCTCCTGACTTAGTCCTAGGCCGGGTCATGTCGCCCACAACCCGCTGGCTGCGGGGGGCTAATCAGTTTCCGACTAATGCATCGCGTCTGTTTCCGAGTGAGACAATTCGGTCTGGCGTGAGAGTTCTAGCTTTCTAGCCGTTTTTATACAGAGTAGGACAACCCTATCAAGCTCAAGTTCGTGTTGCCAAAAGTCCCCGAGCTGTCTAGGATCATGACTAGATCATTGAATAGCTGGAGGAACAAGTTAGCCATTGTAGCAAGCCAGACGGTTCTGTTTCTGCAGTATCGTGAGAGGCCTCTTCACCGTTTTCACGATGATGGTTATTCTCGGTGACGATGCATCTTTCAGGTGAAGTCATTGGAAGCGTAAGTGTTGTCCGCGCCAAAAAAAAGCATCGAACGAAGTCGGTGAGGTCAGCCGCTCGGCTAGTGCCGCCGCGGTGCCCATGTCAGATCGGACTTACCGTCCAATCACCGCTCCCAGCGCGGCTGTCAAGGAAGAACGTACCCACCCTGCCGCGTGGCTGAGCTGAGGCTTCGCTCGGGCCCCTGCCCATCCCCAATCCGACTACACACCATCCCGTCCCAATTCCCCGTCCGCCGGACCGTCGGCATCCCATCGCAAACCAAACCAAACGAAACCCTCCTGCCCGTCAATTCTCACAATCAACCTTCAATAGAGCCTCAGCTGATGTAACCACACCTCACTCCAAATATCGAAACGAGGCTGAGAATCGAAACACCACATCCGCACGCACACACAACACACATCACTGCCGGGCTGCCCACCCGTCCTCCTTCAGAATGACATCACCGGAGGCCCCCGAATCCCAGCCTGCAGCCATCAACTATGTCGCCGGCTTCCTCCTCGTCGGCCTGGCGTGGGGCTTCACGACCCCGTTTATCCGCCGCGCCGCAAAAGACCACAATCCGCCCCCGCACCCGGTCCTCGACACCGACGCCGTCAAGAACAGCTGGCTCCGGAGCCGGGTGTACGGCGCCTTCTTCGGCGTCATCGACCTGTTGCGGAACCCGCGGTATGCCGTGCCGCTGCTGATTAACTTGACCGGAAGTGTTTGGTTCTTCCTACTCATTGGGCAAGCTGGTGAGTACCTTCATTTGCCCCCCTTCATTCAAGCGCAATTCCTTCTGGAGTGAGGTAGAGATAGTGAGAGAGAAGAGTCTTGTGAATAACGGAGAATGTGAATAACGGAGAATGTGCTAGAATTGAGTTTGACGGTCCCCATCGTCAACACCTTGGCGTTCCTCTTCACTGTCATTGGAGACTGGTGGGTTGAGAAGAAGGTCATTAGTCGAGGTAAGTGCGGACGTTCCAAAGATGAGGAAACCCTCTTCGATTGGTCACGATGGCTAAATGCGCTGCAGAAACCTTGGTCGGCATGGTGTTGTCTCTTTCAGGCATAGCGTTATGCGTGCACAGCAAAACGAAGTATTGATTCTGAACCTCTATGGTTTTTGGGGGCCGCTTTTTTTCCGAGAAGAGACAAGGTGCATGCATGAAATCTGTGTATACCGCTGTCTCGCTCGAGGTGCATAATGCAAGATGTGGTATTTGGCATTCTCGATCCATGTAGAATATGTGTAATAAATATATACAGTAGAAGCGAACAACGTGCCTGCGCCAGGCAGCTTCAGTCATCTAAACTTCTACCGTTCGCCTCTTCTCTCCTATCACCATAACCTTCTTCTCTGTAGTTGTTGGGTCTGCCTGGACCTTCTTCCTGTTCAAGCGCGTCCAGCCCGCCCATGAAAAGCTAGTAATAATGCATTCCGCCGAAAAAAGAAGAGAAAGAAAGGAAAGAAAAAACATGATCGAAATGCTCGCTTCGTAAATTGTATCCTCCATGCGCCGTTTATGTCAAAGATCCGTCGTCCCCGATGCCGTCAGAAGAAACATTACTTTTTTGGTTTTGGGTCATCGAACATCCTCAGTCGTTTCAACTTCGTGAATCTTCGTCTCATGGATACCATGACGGAGAGCCTTCACGGTCGACGTGCGCGGAGCCAGCGCTGCACAGCTCGTTGACTTGGGTCCTCAGCCGTCCAGCGGCCCATTGCGGCATCTGATGCCTGCAGTTCGTTGTAGATCGCCTCGTCGGTGACGGTAGCGAGCTCCTAGAGTCATCGTGTTAGTCCAAGCCGCCCAACCAGTCTCAGCACTCTCGGTATATCCCGAACTTACAGCTCTTAGCTGTTGATCACACGCTCTCAGATGCGATTGGTTTCTCGAGTTCGGTCGAGCGCCCTGCAG